GAGAGAGAGAGAGAGAGAGAGAGAGAGAGAGAGGCCTGCTGGCCCCTACCGGAATATTTCCGTCACTCATGGGGCGTGCCCTCTCAGTATCCACTGTCTGATGCAGAGGTGTCCCCACCTTCACACACCCTCTAGAGACACAGACTTTTGGGGAGATGAGAAGAATCCTCCCAAATTGATGAGGGTCCAATTTGGGAGGGTCCAGTTTGGAGAAAGTTCTCCAAATGTGAAGGAATTCTGGTTCTGTAGAGGTCCCTAGGTAGAGTTTAAGGTGTAGGTCTAAAACCCTGGCCACACTTTTAGGCCCCAGATGCTCATCCCCTCTGGGAGAGAAGGAGGAAGGTGAGTTAAGATTATTGAAATTCAGCCCAGGGCCTTCAGAACCTTCTGGGAACTCCAGAACCAGGGTTGGACCCTGGTCTGAGCTAGGTACTCTAGCCTTCTACCCCCACTCCAGGGAAGAACAGGTGCCTAGGGTGACTCCAGGGCTATACATACTAAGGATGGCCTGGATGCCCTGACCCCTGCTGTTCTCATCAGACTATTTTCAGGGGGCTGGGTCCCTGGTAGGAAGAAGGCCCTTCCATCCTTTGCTCTCCATTTCTCCACTCACTCATTCATTCATTCATGCACACAAGTAAACATTTTCAAGGGCCTACTATATGTAGGGCATGAGGTTAAAATGGTGAGCATCTTGCCTGCTTGAAGCAGTGCAGCTGGGGAGGTAGACATTCAACAAATAGCCTGCAGGCCTCTAAGAAGAGTGCATGCAATAAGGAAAAGAGCTGGGCTGGGCTGCGGGCACTGGAGCCCACCTCACCAGTCTCCCCACAAATGGGTGCACTTCTTAATGGGGTTGAAAGGAAACAGTGCGAGTCCAGCCTTAGCAAGTAAGTGCTCCGTAAATGGTGGTGCTATGATTATTAACTGTTGGGGGAAGGGGGAAGGCAGTCTTCCTCTGGAAGCCTCTCATCTGAGATCGAAATGCTCAGCCATTATTCATTATTCATTCACTGAATACTAATTGTAGAACAACCCTGCCCTGCTCTGTGCCATGAGCTGCAAGTTTCAAGCTAGTAAGACATGGTCCTTTCTTGAGGGTCTGTCTGGCAAGAACCAGATGAGTGAACAGACTCCTGGAGGGGAGTGACAGGTAGGCTCAGGAAATCTTCCTCTCTGAAGAAGGTTGAGATCTTGGGACAAGTCCTCTGACTCTGTTTTCCATCTGTACACTGCTAAGTTAGCGTTATGGCTGCAAGTGGGAAAGGTAGGAAGGTGGAGCACAGAGAAAGGGAAAGTAGGCAGAACATGGCTGGGCTGCTGGTCAAGGGCCTGCCTGCTGCCTCTGGCCTGATGGCTTCATCCCAGCCCCTCCAGCCCAACTCCCAAGGACATGGGGGGCCAGTGGGGCAAGGGAGTTTGTGGGTGAAGGCAACAGCTGGCTAGGGCACCAGTGGCTCCACCTGCTCTCAGAAATATCTATCCCAGAGCACTTCTGCCCACCCAGGCTGCTCCCGAAGAAGCACCATGGGTTAGGGTTTCCAGAAGCACCTGGCAGGAAGCAATGAGGGGTGGGGAAGGCTTAGACAAGTCCCTACCTTCTTTCGTTACCCTTCCCCTGCACCCTGCAGTTGTCACAAAACACCATTCTATGTCTAGTACACACTAGGTGTGTTAATATCTGTTAAGGCATGTAAATACTTCGTAAGTGCACAAATAATGGAACTCTCAGGACAGTCTGGGCAGCCTGGATTTAAGTCTCTTCCCCAGGTAAAGCAGCTGAGAGCAGTTATTTTTGCTCCCTCTGCCTGGTGCTTTGGGGGAGCAGCAATGACTGTGGGTCCTGCCAGAGACCTTTGGGCTCACCCATATCAGTGGCTCATAATTCCTCTCAAGCTTGAGGCTAGTGTGTGGGGGACAGGGGCAGGGGTGATGGTGATGATGGGGAGGGAAGGCAAGGAGACATTTCTCCCTAGCAAGGCCTTCTTCGAGGCTGAGCGAGACAGCTGAAAACTGCAGGAAGGGGTTCTCAGCATAAAGATGGGGGGTCGGGGACCCGGCGCACACGCATGCACTGAGACGAGCGCACAGCCATTCATAGCAGCGTTAGCAGTTGCTTCCAGGGGGCACGGAGCCCAAGCACACAGTAGGTGGCTCCAGAACACACCGCGTAGCCTGAGGCAAAAGCAGACCCCACAGTGGAGACTAGGCATCTTGCGACTCAGGCTCACTGGCGGTCTAGGAAGCTCCAGCCGAGCGGGCAGCCTGAGGCGCCCCCCATTCTTGTGTGTCCAGACCCCAAGAGCGCGCGAGGGGTCTGGCCCGGGTTGGGGGAGGCGCCCCCACGGGCCGCCCCGGCCCTTCCCGCGGGTCCCCAGACCCCTCCCCTAGCCCAGACCCCCAATCCCAGACCCGCCGGCCGCCCCGCCCCGGTCCGCCCCGCCCCCGCCCCGGGCTGCGTCCCGGCCCCAGCTCCCAGCCGGGGGCTGCGGGCTCCGGCCGCCCGCCCCGCGCTCCCCCCCCCCCCCCCCGCCGCCCGCCCCGCGCTCCCCCCTCGCGCCCGGTGCGGCGCCCCCCGCCCCAACCCC